CTCTGCGGTCGCTCTTTTCCTGGACTCGAGCGCCGCGATCCTCTGCGCGGCTTCGGCTGCCTCCATTGCCGCTCTGCATTTGACCTTCTCCTTCTCTGCGATCGCCAACGCGGCTCCCTCCGCCATTCTCGCCTCTTCTAATCTGTGCTCTTCTTCAAGCTTCCAGCGGTGGAGCTCGTTCGCCTGCAAATAATTAACCGACTCGAATTCAATTTGTTCCGTATCAATCCAAAATCAGAGATTACGGAGAAAAGATTCGACGTTTGAGAAATGGCGGAAACCTTTTGCTTGGCGTTTAGGGCTTCTTTGCAGGCCGTACTGTACATGTCCATTGTTTGTTTGAGCTCCAATTTCAGCCTCCTCATCTCAGCTTCCACATCATCCTACAAACAATTTTTTTTTTTTAATTTTTAATTACATTAAAAGTTAGCGACTAAATTGAAAAAGTAAATTTTAATTTTAATTTTTGAAACCTGGGGCTGAGAAGAGGAAGGCCAAGAGAAGGTTTCGCTTTCTTGGGAGCTGGAGGACAGATCCTGAGCCAGAGGGGAGTGGGAGGCATTATTGTCAATGGACTTCCGGCCGCCGTAGAAAGGCGAACTCGAACCGGGGCTGTAAATCTCTAAATCCGACCCATTCGAAAACCGGGACATGTCGCTGCCACCAGAGCTCCAGGCTGGTGGAAATGCTCGGTCCACACTCCGCCTCCCATTACTCACGTACGATATGTCAGAATCTAGTACCAATGGATCTAGTCCTTTGCTCATTGTGGCCTTTGAACCGGGTCTCATAAATGGTGATCTATTACATCATCCAAATATTAATTAATTTAATTATTGTTTTAGAACGAATGTGAACCTCTTTGTCGAGGTTATAATGTTGGATTTGACAATCCTATATTTACCGTGTAGGTCTACAAAAGAACTAAGTTATACTCACTCAAATTCAGACCCTCATCACAAGCCCATCTAAAAGATCATTTTGAGTATGGGAGGGGCAAAGATGTAAAAGCACATACTTGATTTCAAAATCATCGGAGTACATGGACCGAGGAGTTGGTGTTATGCTCTCCGGAGGCTCCATGTCTGCAATCAAATTACCAACAACAAACTATTCGATCAGGAAAAAAAATAAATAATAAGACAATAGGGCTAAAATAGGCTTTTCCACCTTTTAAGTCTAAACTATGCCTAAAACAAAAAAAGTATTTCAAAACATCTAATTTTAAAACACATGGCTGTTGGACAAGAAGTTCGCAAATTTAAATTTTAAAAAATTTAAAATTTTTTTACAAACTTAAAATTAGTATTTAATCAAATTGTGGCGGATGACTGCTTCTCCTCTTTGATCGGAAGAAAAATCATATGTATTTTGTTATGCTTCTCTTTGTAAAATTTTCTAGCACCCCGTTAGAGTCATGAAAATGTTTATATCGACAATTGATAAGGTATTACTTTTAGAGACCAAATATACCATCCAACTAAGAAGAATGAGATTCTATTTGATAATTAAGTGAAGGAGAAGAGTTACATTTAGATTGTTGGGAGCGAAGATGGTTGGGCTCGGCCGCAACGTCAGAGGCGGTGGTGAGCTGATACTGCAGCTGAGGGCGGGGTGGGGGGCCAGCGGAGGAGACGGGCTGAAGTTGCGATTGGCTGCGCTGAGGAATGGTCTTTGCTGGCGCTGGGGCGGTGGACTGCCGCATCGAAGAAACCTTGTTGCCTTTGTTAATAACGTAAATTGTGCAGAATTCAGGTGCTCCTTTTGACACACTGCTAGGAACATCGGGGGAATATTTGAATCTCCTGCAACAAAATTAAATTAAGCCTCTTTTTGTGAACATTTTGATTCATATCCAATCAGAAAAACAGGATGAAGATAGAAAAATTTACCTGTAAAGTCCACTCCTTGAGGGGACACCAAGAACTAAAATGTCTATACGGTTTTTTGAGACATAGTTGATTAATGTTTTTGCAATATCTGCATCCTCCAATATCACCTCATTGCATTGTATCTGTTCAAGGACGTCAAATTGGTGAAATCAATGTTCATTATTTAATGTAATATAAAGCATATTTTAAAAAATTATGGCAAATTTGAGAAAATTAAATGAAAAGTTGTGACCTTTGAAATATTAAATTTATCTCCTGGAAAGAAATTTATCTAACATAGTGTCCAATGTTTTGCAATTTTCTTAAAATTTAGTCACTATTATTTATTTTTTTTAAATTATTTTATGTTTTAACCTGGGTGAATATTAAAATTGACCAATAATAAATTTATATGACATAATATTTACCCTCCTAAAAAAAGTTCAAAAAAATAATTTTAAATTTCGTGATTTGAAATTCGAAAAATTATTTAAAAATCAGCTATTTGAAATGAATTAAATTAAATTTATTTCTTAAAGGATAAGATCAATTCAGAAGTACCCTTTCTCTTTATTATTAGAACAGACAGAATTCTATTGGGTTAATTTGGGGACACACGATAGATTTTTATCCTATACTATTCTACAAAAAAGACATATCAAGATAAATAATCCCGACACGCTCCTTAGATTTATTTATGGCCCTCAAGGAGCCGTATGAGGTGAAAATCTCATGTACGGTTCTGTAATAGCDATGAGAACAGTGATGTTATTGCCGACTATGATTATCTAACAGTTCGAGTACGGTTGATATAGTTGAGGCTCAATCAAAATATGGTTTTTGGGGGTGGAATTTGTGGCGTCAACCTATAGGGTTTGTTATTTTTCTAATTTCTTCCTTAGCAGAATGCGAGAGATTACCTTTTGATTTACCAGAAGCAGAWGAAGAATTAGTGGCGGGTTATCAAACCGAGTATTCGGGTATCAAATTTGGTTTATTTTATGTTGCTTCCTATCTAAATCTATTAGTTTCTTCATTATTTGTAACAGTTCTTTACTTGGGTGGTTGGGATATCTCTATTCCATACATATTCGGTTATGAACTTTTTGAAATAAATAAAGCGTATGAAGTCTTTGGAATGACAATTAGTATCTTTGATGTTCATTGAAAAAGAAAAGAAAATAAAAATTTTATTGATATTTTTTTAGTTTAAATTTATTAATTAGAAATTAAAATATAACGTTATTTAATAAGTAATTTATTTTGAAATTCTATTAAATTTGATCAACTTCTTTTTAGGTAAAAACAGTATTTGAAATCCAGTAAGTCGAATTCATTTGAAATGGGTTGTGATTTAAAAATCCATCAAAACTTAAGGTACGAAAGGGAGCACAAATAAATTTAGATAATATTCATCTTCCAAATTTTTTAAAAATGGATAGAAATTTCTGAGTTTTAAGTTCATCGTCCACCATTTTTACACCCATCAATAATGGGGGAGTAGATTGAAAAAAATTAAAATAAATGAAACAAAATTAAAACTTTTTAATCAATAGAGAATAAATTGAAAAAAAAAATAAAAAAAACCAGGACTAGAAACATACATATATGATATATTATATGTATATATAGGGAATTTAATTATCTGGAAAACAAAAAAAGGAGAGAGAGAGAAAGAGAGGGGACTGACATTTCTTCTGGTGCACAAGCAACGAAAGGGGAGGAAGAATTCTCTGGCTTGATTATCGGTCTGCTGCTGTTTGTACGTGGAAGCCTCATCGGAGTCGGAATTTGCGCTGAGATTCGGCACTACAAACAAACGGATTCGCAGATCAGAGATGGATCGATCAATTTCAATTCAAGAATCGGAATCAAACACAGGTTAGGGTTTCCAATTTGAATTTTACTGGAATTCGCGGCGGAGGAGGGTCTCTGTTTGACGTGAAGCAGAGTGAGAGCCTGGCCTTTGGTGAGAAGCCGATCCATGGCCCATTTCAAAGCGTATTGGCTTCCTTTGTCTTTGTCGACCGCCACCGCCACCGATTCCTCCTTCTTCTGACCTCCTCCTCTCGCCATTTCTCTCGATCTCTGTGTTGCTTG